CAAGAATACTTGGGTGCCAAAATCTTTTTAAAACCAAGAATTGTATTATTTTTTATTTTTTATTTTTCTTGATTTTGAAAATTATGTTTTAAAATTTTTTTTGAATATGAAAACCATTTTTCTTTGATCAATTCTTTTGTTTTCATGATTATTAGTTTTGATTTTTGTTGAGAGGTTTGTATTTATATAACCCCCGGATTTATTGGGTGTTTATTTCCCAAATCATGTTTGCCGGGTACTAAAATAATTATATAGGTTGAAACAAGCTTAAGAGCTTGATATGGTTGCCTCTCATACTTTTTGAAAATCAATGATGGTTTGTTTTTTTTTAGATGATTTAATGTAATTTATGATTTCATTTGAGTGATTTGTTTTCATTTGAAAACTTTTTACATGATTCTCATGTTCTTCTTTATTTGATTTCATAAACCTACTTTTAAACATGGTTTCTATGTTTGTATAATGAGACATTATTCCATAATGATACATCCATATGTGTTCTCATTATCTTATGGTTTGTGGGTTATACTTAGCATATTTTCCATCTATGCTTGCTCACATATATTTGCCTTGGTCATCATTGCATATATTCCATAAGGTATTTTGATAGGGGGAGCAATCCCTATATTTGTTTTTATACTCACCCATGCTTATTGGTAGGGGGAGCTTTCTCTCTCTTCTTTTTTTTGTTTCCCCTTTTTTGATGTTGTCAAAGGGGGAGAAATATTATGAGTATATCTTGTTTTGGTTATATGCATGATAATTCTAATTTACATATTAATTTCCTTTCATGCATATATCTCTTTTTATAAATTATTTGTCATCATCAAAAAGGGGGAGATTATTGGGTCCTTCTGTTCTGATGATGTTTAACAAATAATTTACCACTAATGTTGTTTGTCTAGTGTTTGTGTTTTGTATTTATTCTAGGCAAACAATATATTGGAGGATGGATGGAATCGAGCCTTCACGATCATATCCAATGAGGTTGGCGGAATAGTGGTTGAAGCCTTGCAATTCAAGTTGAAGATCCAAGTTCAAGCTTCATCCGTAAGTTTACCAAGTCGAGCTTATTGAAAACGTTCATAAGGCTTGGGTAATTTAGTTTAGGTTTTATATTATATGTGTTAGTACTTTAAGCTCAATTATATACACACATACACGTTTTGGTTTTTGTATATATATAGTTATATATACACATATATGTTTTGGTTTAGCTAGATAGATATGAAATAATATATATCTTCATATATACTTTTATATATTTCATATTCTATTGTATTTGGAAAAAATATTGTGTTCTTGATTTATTAGTTTAAAGACTTTAATATCAGTTTATATCAATTCATTAAGTCTATAAAATTATTTTACAAAAGTTTCAATATTGTGTTTATGTCAAATGAAAAAAACATGTATGTTTAGTTTTCATGTTTTTGGACATATTTGAAAAATGATGATTTTTCACTATTGAGAAGTGCAATTCTAAAAATTCTTTTTGTAACATTTTCATTTACATGTTTACAATGATTTTCCAAAGTTTTACATTTTTTAGAATTTATTTGCTATTTTTAAAGGTACTTTAAAAATCAGTTTTACTATTCAAATCAGGCTGATACAGTGTTATCAGTCGACTGATGAATATGTTCAGTCGACTGAAGAAAACGCTTGGAATAACAAAAAGTTTCTATTTTGTTTTGGTCGACTGACCAGTCAACCGATGAGGTCATCAGTCGACTGATAAGGTCCGTTAGTCGAATGATGAGCTGGAAAACGCCTCTAACGGTCAGCTCATCGGTCGACTGATGAAAACCGCCAGTAGACAGATGCTATAACTGCTAGTATTTTCAGTCTTTTACAGTTTTGATTTTTTGGTCTTTTTACCTTATTTTCTCTTGGCTTTGGGATTCCTATAAATACCCCCACATATCCTCAGTTCTATATATAAGAGAAAAGTTTTACAAGGGTTTTAAAAGTTTGTTTAGTTTGTTTAAGGTGTTTAAGCCTTGTTTAAGTGTTTTGTTTGTGAAGACAATTTCACAAGAGCAAGTGGAGATCATCTATTGGTGTTTGAGCATTCACTCTTTTCTCTCTCTCTTGTTATCTAGAGAAGTTTTCTAAACTCGGTCTAGCTATTTTATATGTTTGATTTTCATCTCCATAAGCTAGAATCTATATTGAGTTTAGTTTGATTTTGTTTTATTAAATCTCATTGTTACACACACCCACTTGAGCTTATAGTATTTCATACATAGTATAATTAGGGTTATGAGAGATTGTAACTTTGAGTTGTGCTTAATTGAGTTCTCACCTTGTTTAGAGAACAAATTGTAACTTTGAGTTGTGCTTAATTGAGTTCTCACCTTGTTTAGAGAACAATCATTTGTTGAGTGCCTTATTTGTAAAAATCACTTTGTAATACACTAGTACACCAAGAGGAGTGTGTGGTGAGAGACAGGGTCGTCCCAAGAGGAGTATCACTTTGTAATACACTAGTACACCAAGAGGAGTGTGTGGTGAGAGACAGGGTCGTCCCAAGAGGAGTGAGGTAGGTGGTAATGCCTAGAGAGAGGTTATAATTCCTAACACTTGAGGGAGACACGGGCTAGAGACCAACACATGAGGTGATAATTAGTGTAGTTACATTATGAGTGATTGTGAACGTTGATCGGTGAGCGTTGAAAACCGATATTGTGAGGTGTAAACATTTTTCGAGTAAGCGTAGAAAACCCAGTGTGATAGCGGAGATCTCCTCGAGGTGAGGAGCGGAGACGTAGGTCGTGGGGACCGAACTCCGTGAACATATCCTTTGTTTGTGAGTGCATTGGCATACTAAATTTTATGTTCATATCTTATATCACCTTTGTATATTGCTTGTTGTTTATATTACCCACTATCTAGTTTAGATTATTCACACATGTGTCACTTTTATATCCTTGCGCATATATTTGTAATATATCATTCTTGCTAGGATATATTTGTTAATAAGTTTTAATTTGGCATAAATCGGATTAGATTAGCATAAACCCTATTAACCCCCCTCTAGGGTTCTTTCCTAGTAGTATTAGGGTACTTTCAGGTGGCACTCGCGTTTTAGAGTTGGAACGTGGGGGGTGACCCTCGCGTTTTGGAGTTGGAACGCGGGGGTGGACCCTTACGTTTTGCTTTAAAGAGATCATTAATTGTAATCTATTTTTTAAGTTATGCAAAGATCATGATTTTGTAATCTTTGTATTTGGCTTTCTAAAGTATGATAGTCGTCAAATTGTAACTCTCGTCTGTTGTCATGAAAGTCGTTAGATTGTAACTTTTATCATCAGTGCTTTGTAAGGATCAGCTATCTGTAGTAATTTTTTGATGGTCTACACTGAAATTACCCTAGAGGGGGGAGTGAATAGGTTAATGAGATAATAAATGTGCAATTAAAAAATTTTAGTGCAATACACCAGCCAAATTAAATGCAAAGGCAAAAATTAGAGAGAGTTTAGAGAATAGTTAGCCAATGGTGACACATGATATGTTCACGAGGTTCGGTCCTCCGACCTAAGTCCCCTACCACCTCTCCTGATGGTAAATTCACTATCACACCCGGCTTGGAAGCCAAAACTTCTTTACAACGATCTCCTCTTGAGATCTTACAATACACACAAGTGATCTCCTCGAGATCAATCTCACCATACAATCACAATGAAAAGGCAAAAACTCTCACAACAATCCTATGACAAGGATCACGTGAAGAACAAGTAAAAGCTCAAGGGTTGTGGAGTGTGGATGTGAGAAAAACAAAGGCTTAAACACATTTGAGAATTAAGAATTGAAAGTTTGATCTCAAGAACACTTAGAAAACTAAACTTGATATCTTTCTCTTACTTAATTGATTACTGAAGTTATAAGGGTGGTTGGGTATATATAGAAGCCCCAAACCCTAGCACAAATCCCAAACAGGACAAAAAATCCCGTAAAATCAGCACGGTATAAAACTAGCCATTAACAGTGTTATAAGTCGACTTACTACTATTCATAAATCGACTTATAACTAGCCGTTACAGGATGAAAAGATCATATAAGTCAACTTACAAAAATGCATAAGTCGACTTGCTAGGTTGATAAGTCGACTCAGCAGATACTATTTGCAGATTCTTGAGCAGATCATAAGTCGACTTATCTGAGCCTATAAGTCGACTTATGAACATGCACAAGGACTGTGCATGTTTGAAAACTGTCTTTTAAAGGTCTTTAAAAAATAATAAATAAATTCCAAAAAAAGCAAAATTTTGAAAAATATTTATAAACATAAATATAAACATGTTAAAAAAGGAATTTTTTAATTTGAACTTCCCATTTGTAAAAACAACTTATTTTTCAAAATGGTTCAAAAATAATGTTTTTATGAGAGTGTTTGTGTGAACCCAATAATGTTATCAACTTAATAACTTGTCTACATTAAGCACTAGAGAGAAATAAAGAAATATAAATATCTCACGTATATGAATACAATTTTTTGGTCTTGATATTTGCCCATATTTTGATAAAGCTTCACTTTTGTATTGTACTCTTGAAAGTTTTGCTTCATCATAATGCCTCCACCTCCTTGGATATCATCGTTGTAGCTCTTTGTTCCATCCAATCCTCTAATAATGGCACTAACATGCTTGATAATTGTAATCTACATAATATAACTCAACAAGCAATTAGCACCAATAATGGTGTTTATTTAAATATCATCAAAACAAGAGAACTAACATACACTAGTAGTAAATAATAGTTTCACAGACATGATCATGGTTTCAGTACTTTATCAACTACAAACCCATCATATAGAAATTAAAATATCATAACATACTTAAAGCGATTTAAGTTTCTATAGTGTCCCCACTATGGTACCGTCCACAATAATCAACCCACATCTCCCAAGCTATTTGATCTCTATGTGCCTTCCAATCATTTCTTGATTGCATTTGCTCCCTTTGGGTCTGAGTTTGAGAGAAATCAACTATATTGCTTTAATCTTCATTTGTTATATCACCATCATCCTCTTCAATGTTGACGACATCATTTAGTATATCATCGTTAGGATCAACAACTACAATGTAATTGTGAAAAACAGTGCATGCCAAGACAATATCTACTTGTGCCGAAAAATGGTAATGTGGTTTAGCGGAAAGAATCTTGAATTGATTCCTCTATATCCCAAAAGAAGATTCAATCTTAGACCTCAAGATTAAATAACTCAATTTTATTATTTATTAATATCCCTTTATGTTCATTCAAATGATATCAAACAGACCGATACGGGGAGATAATAAACCAGACATTATCGTGTACCCCACATCACACAAGTAATATTTACTTACAATTTTTACGAGGTAAGTATGCATATGAGATATTTTACATAATATCATATTAATTAAATAATAAGATTCAATAGAATTTACCATCGTAGACTCTCAACCAATGTGGTTGTGGTCTAGATAAAGTATCCTGGAGGATCTTATAATCATTTGCAGAACTTTTCCACCATGCTAATACGTACGTGAACAACTTGTTTGAAGTACAAGCTGCTGGTACATTTTGTGTGACTCTTTTGCGACCACTAAAGCGTGAGACAAGGCTAGCAAGAAGCATTGTATCTATATGTGTACTATCTATCATACCAATACAATCCTGTAAACCATAACACAATACTAAATAATCACGTTATTTGATTGATTAGTATGTACTTATTTATAAAGAACTTATGATGTACCTTGAAATAAGGGTAGTATCGTGGATTGTTAAGAATCTCTGGTGGCACTTCATTGAGTTCTTGTCTCATGTACCGTCCACGTAAATGACATATTGCCTCTAGAACTTTATTGAAATATCTACTTACAGTCTCCCCAGATCTAATAAAATGTGACCATGTGACTCTTTTCTTAGTTTTATGACCCAAAATGTTCAATGTCATAGCAAGTTGCTCTTCCACAATGACATGCCTGAAGTCTTTTAACAGATTTTCCCCCTCATGATATTTGCAATTTAAAAAAAGCCCCACTATGCATTCTAACTATGCATTCTAACGTAAGTTACACAACTTTCACTAAACCCATTGTAAATACGATCCATGTGAGTCATTCTATTTTTTTGGTCCAACAATTTTTGCTCACTAGGAGCATGATGTATCCTTCTACGTCTACATTGCATTCTCTTCATAAAGGTAATTAATATTAATAAAACTGAAAGTGAATCCCCAGAGCACGTTCTCAAAACAATCTCTTCATTATAAGAGTTACCATCCATCTATAATACCTAATTTAAATTATTAATTATATATTCCATAGATAAGTGACATATAACATTAAGACCATATGAACACTAAGTACAACTTCATCCAAAATATATAATTAGTGTCTCTAACTTAACAGGTTTAATAAACGTAATAAAATAACAAAAAATAAAGGATTTAACAAACACGCAATTTTTAATACTCATCAATCATCCAAAATTGGCAGATATTGTTATCAAATTCTACACTCATCAAACAACCAAAGTTTAGCCAATATTGCTACTAAATAAACATAATTGTCATCTAAAATTTAATTCAAGTTTATCCACAATCTTAGTTATCATCACTAAATTATTACAGTATTTAAACAACCTTTAAAAGATTATAAAAAACGTAGTGTTAAGCAAACATGCAATTACCATACTCAAACAGATCATATTATAACCGCTAATAATAATTATATAATAATGAAACTACCATAAATAAGCAATAATCAACTATCAATAACCCCATTCAATAAAATCAGAGCTTGCCATAATATATACTAGTTTGCGGTCCGTGCTTTGCACAGTATTTTTTGCTACAGTAATCCCGCTTTTTTAATATGTCATAATTTGAATTTTTGAAAGTGCTACAGTATCCCGCTCTGCTACAGTATCTTTTAAATGCTACAGTGTGCCCGTGCGCTACAGTACTATTTTCAATTAGTTATTATCTACAGTAGCATGAACAGTAAATCTCTGATCCTCCTATTTGTTTAAAGGAATATATATGTATGTAAATTGGTTATTCTTACTTAAAAAAATGACATGTGATTAGAGATTTACAAAATCATAACAATAATAACCTAAAAATTAATTACAATCAAGTATTAAAAAGCTTTTGTCAATTAGCAAACTAAAATAAACAATTTTAATATTTATTTCACAGTAGGGGAGCTGCATGTTCAAGAGTTTCCCTTTGATTAAGCTTTAAAGGCGTGCAAAACAGGAAAGTTTTGATTTTGAGAAAGATTGAGCACCCGACAATTGTATATCTTTGAGGCAAAATAAATCTGCCTCAATTTCCATAAAGCAACAAAATAGATCGCAATAAAAACCCTAGTTTTTTTTCTCATTCAGAGCAATGGAGGCGCATGAGAGGAGAGAAATGGAGGTGCAGGAGAGGGCAGAAATGGAGGGAGATGAGATGGTGACTACAACTCTATCCGCGATTTTAGAGGGCTGGAAACCAAAACATCCAATCTTCTATTTTTTTAATAACTTTTATTGTGATTTCATCCCAATTCGGAGCTTTGAGGTCGGATATTTTCAAGCGAATGAGAGTGTGAAGCAAAAACGAGAGAACAAAAAAAATGGGCAACATTTTTTTTCCCGGGCTTTGAAACACGTTTCTGCGTTTTTATACGAAACAAACAGACCCTATTCAATGAAGATAAATGGGAACGAATTTCCACATATCAAATAAAAAGTTGTTCGATGAAGACGAATGAGAACGAATTCCCGCATCAACTGAGAACGAATTCACATGTCAAATAAAAAATTGTTTTATTCTCTTTATTTTATGTTTTTGTTTTCTGACTGTTGTTTGACCTTCTTTTGGATATGTCAGTTTAGATGTTTTGCTTTAAGTATTTTATAAACATTAAATTAAAGTTAAAATAAAAGAAGCAATAAGAGTTCAACTAAATCCTCATGGAGGGATCAAAATTAAAGAAATTTGTTAAACTTGAGAAACACGATGAAGATCCCAGTTAACATTAGTAACGAGAAAAAGCGAGGAAAAAATTGATTTGAAGGATTCTTTGAGATCAATTGACAACTAATAGTAGATAAAAAATAGGTGATATTCCTTAGCTTAGATGCCTCCCATGGTCACTAGTATTTATTTTTTCTTTAATTTCAAAACCGAAGCAGGTATAAAGGGCCATTCCAGGTTCCTATTCATCTATACTATCAATTATGGATGGTTTCATTTCAATCGTCGATTTGCCAATCAATAAATTTTTGTGTGTTAATCTACATTTTAAATCTAGACATTTTTTTAACAAGAAACTATTACGTTAAAATCGTCCCAAATGGTTTTGGATAATTTTTGATGATTTTTAATATTTTTTCCGAGTATTTTACAAAACAAGGTCCTTAATGGTCCATTATAGTTTAAATCTGCAAATATTATTTTTGTACCCTATAAATACCAACTTTATATTAGAACTCTTTTCATTCTTTGAGTCAAAACCCTAGAAGAGCAAGAGAAGAAACTTGGAGAAGGAGGAACCTCAATACAAGGCCAATGCTCTTTTCCCCTATTTATTTTGAATATAAATCTAATTTCTATGTTAGATTACCATCATCTCCATCATAGATATTCATTAGTGTTTTATTCTATGGATGTTTAGATGATCTTGGATCATATTAGAGATGAACCATATTTATTAGATATTAAAGTTTAAATGTAATTTAGTTTCCTCTTCATGGCTGAACTGTATTCCCGTGGCAAAGTTTATCAGTTTTAATGTAAAATGTTGGATTTAATCTAATAAATCTATTTGTGGGCACATATGATTAAATAAATGTGTATTGCTATCTTTCAGGATAACCCACTAAAGTGATCAATTAAGTTGGGTTAATTTGGTATTTAAATAAGTCATGGGGTTATATGTGCAGATACCAGGTTGTAATTGTGATTTAGTGAGGGGCTAAATTATAAAAGTACAACATCTATAAATAAGGGGTTATGGTCCCTAACCTAGGGTTACATTCTCTAATTCTCTACACCCCCATCTAGCTAGAGAAATTCGGATTTAGAGAAACCCTAAGGTTAGAAGATCATCAAAAAACCCAAATCAAGATTTCTTCTATGGATTTAGGTATATGCTTCCGCTCTTTTAGATTCTTGTTAATCTCTTCGAATTAATCATGGCTATATGATTTTAGATCTTAAGTTTTTGGTTTACATCTATCAAGTGGTATCAGAGCCACCTTGATTAATTCTTAGGGATTTAAGTTTTATTGGGTTTTTTGATCTTAAATCTCTGATTAAAGATTCAGTTTTTTTGTTCGGATGAACAATAACGAAAAGTTTCGGATGAACAGTAAAGTTTTTCTTTTTTCGGGTGAACAGTAACTGAAAAATCGCCGGTGAACAGTAACTTTTTGGAATTTTTTGGATTTTTCTTCGATTTTTTCTTGGTCTGGATCTGATTTTGAAAAATAAAATCGAGGAATTTTTTTGGGTTTGTCGGCGGCGGTTTCGGTTTGAAACCCTAAGGGTTCGTGCGTGAAACGTGTCGAACATTAAGGAGGTGGTTACCTCAAATTTTGGCAAAGCTGAAAGCTTCAGACGAACCTCGCGTTCGTGCTTCAGTCGAACCTCGCGTTCGTGCTTCAGACGAACCTCGCGTTCGTGCTTCAGACGAACCTCGCGTTCGTGCTTCAGACGAACCTCGCGTTCGTGCTTCAGACGAACCTCGCGTTCGTGCTTCAGACGAACCTCGCGTTCGTGCTTCAGACGAACCTCGCGTTCGTGCTTCAGACGAACCTCGCGTTCGTGCTTCAGACGAACCTCGCGTTCGTGCTTCAGACGAACCTCGCGTTCGTGCTTCAGACGAACCTCGCGTTCGTGCTTCAGACGAACCTCGCGTTCGTGCTTCAGACCTTCAGTCGAACCTCGCGTTCGTTCTTCAGTCGAACCTCGCGTTCGAACTTCAGTTGAACCTCGCGTTCATTTTTTAACGAACCTCGCATTCGTTCTCAGACGAACCTCGAGTTCGTGCTTAAGTGAGTCTCGTACTCAATACAGTCGAACCTCGCGTTCGACGTTAAGCGAACTTTGTGTTCACTATGGTTAAGCCTCAACTTTTCATGGGTCCACTTTGGTATACTTAATTTATTCAATTAAGTTATGGGCCCTAATTAAGCTGTGAGACCCCAATTAAGTTTTTGGAAATTCAGTTGATTTAAATTAAAACTTTTTAATTAAATCTAATTTGGTTTTTAATCAATTATTTAAATTCAAATATTATGACACTGAGGTATTAATCCAATTGATTAATTAAAACAAGAAGTTGCCAAAGTAACCTCTCTTGTGTAGATTGTTCATGAGGAATGTGAGATGTTTATGTGTATGCTTTCGTGTAAATATTTAATCGGCCCAAAGGAAGGTTAATATTTATTTAGACTGTATACACATCTGCGATGATAAGCGTGTGACAATTATAAGGTTTACATGTGAATAATGAATCGATCCAAAGATAGTTTCATTATTTGACATGAGTTATTGTCAATGTTTGATCATTGCAACAAGGTATCACTTACAAGTTAATATTACTGTCCAAAGACTTGATATTATGTTGTGCCCGATATCTTGAATGGTGATTGTCATTATTTGAATTTTATTGATTATGGTTATTGATGTGAGCATTTTTGTTTTATTTCAGCTAATGCATCTGCTGCAACAATTTCTGCTAACATCAACTCAATTCCCATGCTAAATGGGACAAACTTCAAGGTTTGGAAAGAGAACATATTAATTGTTCTTGGCTGCATGGA